AAAAAACATTTCTTGAAAAATTTTGTGATTAATTTTAGTCGACGACAAGGTCTTCAAGAAGATATTGAAGATATTTTACGTGAACAAGCTGAGAAAAAAAAACGTCTTGCACAAATGAAAAAACGTCCTAAAACAGCTGCATAAAACAAAACATTTCGAAATTTTTTTTTTTTTTTTCTTTCTTGTTGTTGATTATATTTCTAATATTTATTGTTCTAAATATGTCATGTTTCGTACGCATGGTATGGTTATTTATTGTTCCTTATGTTTTCTACAATCACCTTGTCTTATATTTGTTTGTATTTTTATTGTTGAATAACAACAGAACATTTTGTTTGTTTTTTTTTTTTGTCACTGATCTTGCTTTCGTTTGAAAAATCAAAGCAATAGAATGACAAGATGAAGAAGATCAGTTTGTCGGTTTAGTCTATTTCTTTTTTTTTCTATTCAAGAATGTTTCCAATAAGATTTATTCGTTCATATACAACTGGAAACACACGTGAAATAATAAAATTTTATTATGATTTTAAATCACCATACACTTATTTAGCATTTGAACCAGCACTTCAATTAGAAAAAGAATATCCTATTCAATTACGTTTTATTCCATGGCCATTTAGAATTGAAGAATCTTTTGGTGGAAATCTTCAAGAACGAAATAGACTTAATTGGAATAAAGTTCGATATTTATATTTAGATTGTCGACGTTTTGCTAATGAACGTGATATGATTATACGTGGACCAGAACGTTTATTTGATTCTCGTCTTTCATTAATTGGTGGTTTATATGCTGATAAACATAATTTTTTTCATACATATGCTCAACATACATTTAAACTTTTTTTTAATCGTCAATTAAATATTGAAAATTTCGATGAAATTACTAAACTTCTTTATGAAACATCAAATAAAAATAAATCATTTGAAAAATTTTCTCAAGATTTTCAAACATATTTTAATAATCAAGGAAAACAAGATTATTTAAATGCACAAAATGAAGCTAATCAAGATAATATATTTGGTGTACCTACATTTATTGTACGTGGTGAACCATTTTGGGGTAATGATAGAATTTCATGGATAAAAAAAAAATTAGATTCACTTAAATTACAATGACATATAATCATTAAATAATTATAACAACATCTAAAATTTTATTTTTATTTATTATTTGACTCAATTAATGCATTTAATTATATGTAATGATTAGTATAGTTTATATTTTCATATTGAATAAAAACAAATTTTACATAAATTTCAACATATATGTTATAATATTTGAAAAAAAAAATGTTTTTTTTTTTTTATCAAGTAGTGATGAAATTCGTCAGTGAAAGTGTCTTTTTTTGTAAGGTTTCATTATTGCCACTTATTATTACTGAGGTGTCTATCGTTCAAGTATATTGATAAAAAAAAAAAAAAGAAATATCACACATCGATTTCGAAGCCAATTGTTTTTTTTTCTTCTTCTTTTCTCAAGCATGGGAAAGTATGGATAGAATTTGTTCAATTAAAACAAATGTTCATACCTGTTCAGATCAAATAAAATACACATGTAAAGCCGCTGATAATATAAAAATGATGTTAAATTTTTTTTTTTTTTTTTGTTTGAAATAATTTTCTCATCAATAATAATCAACAAGTTCTATCGTGTAATGTTTTTATTCTAGAAGTCATAGATCACTACCTGTGAATATGTAAACATACATAGATAAGGTTTCTTATGGTATAAAATAAATATCTAGTCTTTTGTACGCGTGTCTTCTCTCGTTCGTAGAGAAGAAAGATTATCGAACCAATGATCAATCGTTTTTTTTTTTTTGTCTTCTCTCTCTCTCTCTCTCTCTATGTTTATTTAAAAGAAAAAATTTCTTCATTTGACCATTGACTACATTTTAAATTTAGAAAAAAAATTATGATGTTAATGTATGATTATACTGATCTATCAGAAGAAAGTTCAAGAAAAGTAAGTTGTTGTTTTTTTTTTTGCTGTATAATTTTCAATTATTATCTTTATTTTCTAGTTTGCTAAAACATGTGTAGAAAAAAAACGACGTGATCGTATTAATAAAAGTCTTGATGAATTAAAAGATCTTATAGCTTTAACTGAGGATGTAAAATTTTTCTTAAATATATTTTTTTCTTTTGACTTTTATCTTTCATTCATTCCTATCTAGAAAGCACGTTATCAAAAATTAGAAAAAGCTGAAATACTTGAAATGACTGTTATTTATGTTCAAAATTTAAAACAACGAATGAATAATTCAATAGAAAATTATGAAAATGGTTATAGACAATGTTCAGAAGAAATATGGAAATTAATTTATTCATTACCAAATATTTATCCTGAACAACGTCAATATTTAGCTAATCGTTGTCGACAAATGTGGATAAATCGTCGATTAATATATAATTATCATCGTCAGCATCCTTATCAACGACGAATAATGGAACCAAAATATCTACAAATTCTTGTTAATGGTTCTTGTTCATCATCAAATTCTCTAAGTCCATCATCATCATCATCATCAAAACTTTGGAAACCATATATATAGAAAAAAAAAATATATATCTATGAGTACAGTAATAATGTGTGATTTTAAATATATAAATTATCTAATAATTCATGAGAATTTTTTTTTTTCTTTCTAAATATCCTTCACAACTTTTAATGTATGTTTACATAATCAATATTGGAGAAGTTGTTGTATGTGAACGTACTTTATAATGTTATTTTACATAACAATAATTACATATATCATTTTTTTTGATATAAATTAATTAGGATTAAGAGTGCGAGCGTGGATATATAGAAGACTCATCAAATAGATACGAAAATTCTTAAATCTACGTAGAAAAATCTTTGTTGTTTTTCATTCTTGAGATTAAAGATATCGGTATAATATTGTTTTCTTTAAGTACTGAAATATGTAGCATCTTTAATTTCAAAATATATTTAAAATTTTGCGTATCTGTCTGATGATTTAACGGTTTCGGGTGAGATTTTGAATCATTGAACTCTAATTCATAATCATATTCTTCAGTGTTTGAACTTCATCTTGCTATCAGATATAGAGAAATGTGTGAAAATAAAACATATTGTTAAGTGATCTCTTTTTGTTTTCATGTTATGTTTTGATGTGCTATTTCTTGTGTCAGATGATAATGTGAGTATTGAGCTTCTCTATTTCCATACATATCGGGAATAGAAGGCTGACATCACTAACTTAACGTGAACTTATATGTAGTGATTGATGATTTGACAACAATATGGATAAGTCTCCATGAAATTAAATAATGTGAAATAAGATTAATAAACCATTACAATAATATTTTTTTTGTTACTATATTATGTTCTCATTTCTATTATTGCAATAACTTTCTCTAATACAAAGTACTTTTTTTTTGTCACAAAATACTGCTGAACAAGAAGTGCCGATGAAACGGAAATAAATCATTTTTTAACCATTAGAAGATCTAGTAGAATGGATGGTCATTGGTTCTTCATTCTTATTTTCCTATGTATGTCTTAGCGTCCAATATTAGATTGAAATAATTTGTTGAATAACTCAAGAACGCAAACAGCTAGAGACCTGCGGTTTTCCTGAGTTGAAGGAAGTGATATGAGGACGTCTTTTTCTCTGATATTGTATACGACGAATTTATTTTAAAATCAACTCCTTTTTATAAAACATCGAAAAAATGTACGAAAATATTTTGTCGTTGAGATGAAATTTTTAACAAAAAGTAAGAAAATTCGTGTTTTTCGAGGGAGTAAATAGAGAATTGCGTTTGTTTAATATTAGAAGGTGTGAAGATAAGCATATAAATTATATCTTAAGCTATAGATCTGAAGTCTCTCTATCTAGATCACATATTAAAACCAAAATCTCATCGAAACAGTAGACCGTTATTACGCATATTTTCCGATGTTTTGAAGGAATGATTGATTTTAAAATAAATTCGTCGTATACAATATCAGAGAAAAAGACATCCCCATATCATCTCCTTCGACTGGTGAAAATCGTAGATCTCTAACTGTTTCTATTCCTGAATTATTCAACAAATAGTCATACGCACGAACTTTTTGGACACACTATAGTTTGTAGATTGATGTTGTATTCGAATACTTATCAATAAATTCATAGAGAACAATGACATTCTAATCGATAAATTAAGTTTGAATCCGTGAAATTATGGAGGGATATTGTATTAATTGAAATATCATTACTCCCTGCTACAAACTATTTCGAGTTTTAATATCAGTGTCCATCTCGATTCAATGTTGAATGTTAATCTATATTTCAATAGTAGATATTCATTTTCCATGAATCATATAAACAATCGGAAGATATTGTAGCTGCGTTTGATGCAATTTTGAAATGAAAATAATATTCCGCAGTTGAGTTTTGACAGAAGATTTCAAAATTCAAACGTAACGTAAGATTATACAATAGCTGTATTTCAGAGACTATTAAGAGCTAACATCTCAATTTCATATTGTAGATAGAGAAGAGTTAGAATTACATTTTGATAAAAAGAAAAAGACTTCATTTCTGTTTAATTAAGAACTATGAGCATTCTACGATAAAAGAAGTGAATTGTTTATCTTATAGAAATCATCCAAGAAAAAAACAAAATATCTAAACTTGTTGAATGATCAGCATTCGCTGATATCAATGATCAACATATATATTTTGTTTTTTCAATTTACTTTAGCTTTCTATTCTATTGAATTTTTAATGGGCATGAATATTTTTGATCACCAAAAAAGATACAATTGATCACCAAAATGTGTTTGCTGCGAAATGATCACCAAAAAAAGATACATTTGATCACCAAACTATTTTATTGCGAAATGATCACCAAAAAAGAATACAATTGATCACCAAATTTAATCAGTGCGAAATGATCACCGAAAAAGCATACATTTGATCACCAAACGTATTATTGATAAAAAAAAAGCAATAAATACATGAGAAGACGCCTCGACTTAAAAAGAA